GTATTCGTTAATGAGCACCACGGAGGGTCGTCGCATGTGGGGCGCTCGGGCGGTCGCTGCAGCGGCGCTGTCTGTTGTCGGGTGGTGGATGGCCAACCACCTCATCCGCTCGTCCCCTGGTGAGGGATGTGCGCCCGTTCACTCGTCTCTCTCTTTCTGTCTTCCCTCTTTCTTCGACTAGCTTCTACTATGTTGGTGTTGGTGTTGTTGATGGTGACGTTGGTACGTCAGAAGGAGGGAGCGTTCTTCAAAGCACGAGGGGCTGGGGTTGTGGTGAAGGTGAAGTGGGCAGAGATGTTGGCTGAGCGGCGCGAACCTTGTGTCTCGCTGGTGGTGCGTGGGGTTGAGGCGAAGAAGTGAGCTAGTCGTGGCCGCCGTGGATGGCTCTAGGAGGAGCGGTTGATGGGCCGGATTGGTGGTCAGCGCCGTTCGAGGCCTCAGTGAGGTGATGTTGTTCCGGTACGGAGAATACTGTGATGCGGGACTGTGAGGGTTGGCGAACGAGACAACGTTAGGCACCACCCATCATCGCGCGTGTGTAGGTTGACGGGTGATTTTGCAAAGACGAACATGGTCGGGGGTCCACTTACCGCTTTGGGGCTCGGGGGACCGCTCTAGCCGGGTCGATGGTCGATGGTCGCTGGCCGATGGGCGTAGACGGGTCTTGGGTCGGCCGCGTCCCTCAAATGGAATGGAATGTGCGGAATGTAGCGGCGAACGATGGACTGTCTAGGGAACGGATGGGCGGCTGGGCTTGGTTTGGCGTGTGGCTGTGGCTGAAGTGGGTCTAGAGTCTAGGGCTCGGTGTCGGTCGAGGTGTGCGCTGCACAGGCCCGAGGTGGGAGATAAGATAAGAAACAGAAGAAGAGAGTTAGCTTGAACGTACGACGGTGAAGCCGGGTGGTGGTTGCTTACCTGCTGCTGCTGGCAAAGCACCTGTTATGATGGTGATGATGGTCTCTCTCTCTCTCGACTGCTTGCGTGCGTGGAGAAGAACTGGAAACAAGGTTTGAATGGTGGGGCCTGATCCCCACCGGATGATGTCGGCGGCCGGAGGGGCACGCTTGGTGCACGCGCACACCGCGAACGAGGTCCTGACACACGCGAAAATGTGTGTACGATTGGCCGGTTCTGCGGTATCGCGCCATGAGTGGTCGGCGGGACCCAGATGCGCTCGTTACTGCGTCGCTCGTGTCAAAAGGCGGGCGTTACCTTTAGGCAATCGACTCCCTAGCTGGAGTAGGCCCGGCGACTAAGTGGATTGCCTGATCCAGTGTCGCTGAAGCATGATTACGACCGTTCCACACCTCGACGGGCTACAAATTGCTACAAATAGCGCCAGCCGATGCTCCAAAAGGACAGCAGCCGTGCACCACCGCACACAGCAATCTGATGGTCGGAACAAGGCGAGACGAGATGTACCTCATGAAGTGGCCGTGCGTTCTTGAGATGCCTCGCACACCCGTATGTACGCACACGGGTCGTAA